TACCCGCTACATTTCAACACTTCCTTCAGGCCGTGTTTCACAAAAAGTACTTATGCTTTAAAGCTAACTAAGCAAGAAGTATTGATTAAGAAATATTCAAAACGACAATAGTGTACGACAATACAATTCGGCGATTTGCTCGAATGATAGAGAATCTTCTCCTAAATTTTCAAATACGACAATTTTAACTCTATGTAAATGAACTCCTTGACTCGCTTCATGTCTACCTTCTCATTCCCAAACGCTGTACTTCTTGACATATGCATACCTATTTTTGATTGAACCGTGGTTATTGTCTTGTCCAATGATTTAATATTTGTATGACTTGGTTCCAGAGATTTCAACAATATTTCACGGGCTTTCACAAAATAATTCAATGCTTGTTTATAATCTTGTTTTAAATAGAACATCGCTCCGATATCTGCATAAGTTTGTCCAAATTCTAGATGATCTACTTTTGGATTTTGATGATCGATTTCTAGCGCCTTTTCAAAGTACATAAATGCTGAGTTGAATTCCTTTGTTTTTACGTATGAATTAGCAATATTTTTGTAAACTTTTGATGTAAGATCATGAATTGGTGTGATGGTAGAAAGAATCTTGAGTGCTTTTTCCTGATATTCAAGAGCTTGTGCATAATTGCGTTGCAACCAATAGATCATACCAATTGACATGAAACATTTAGCAATATCACCTTCTCCTTTGTTTGGTACTTTCAGTTGCTTTAAAATATCAAGCTGCTTATGATAGTTGTCTAATGCTTCTTCATACTTTTGTAATTTCGTGTTGGCTGCACCAAGCGAACTATAACATCGAGCTGAGTCAAGAAGACTTATTGATGGTTGAAGCAAAATGGTTTGAAAATGTGTTTTCGCCTTTTCATATTCACATTTCCAATAGAAGTGATCACCACGGCTGAAAAGAGCGTTTTGTTGCATATCTGATGTTACTGTTGTTGTAGGGCTTTTACTGGTATTTTCATCAGACATTTCCGGTTCTATTTAAATTAGAGAAAGAAAGAAGAATTATAGTACATACAGCTCAGATTCAGGTTCAAAGTTCGACATGTAAAAGCTTGTCAGCACAGCTCCTTTGCAGCTGAGATGCGTAACTCGCGCATATCCTTCAGTCTTGCTAGCCTAACACATAATCTACAAGTGACACTCGTCACTGTGGCGTACTTGACCCTTGACTATATATTCATCTACTTCCATGTTTTATATCGATTTATAGTCTTCAACACATCAAGTGTACAATTCTCCAAAATGGTGGGTAGGTGCCTTTACGTTGATATTCGCACCAATCTCATTGTACACTAATATATGCGGGTTCGGATGAACATTTCTGTCACAAATACATCTAGTCAAATTGACACCCTTTCATTGACACTCAACAAAATCTAACACTACACTATGGCGGCGATATCCATACGTACCAAAAAAATGAACTAATATTCAGCATTCTTAGAGAGAATGAAGCAAAAGTCATCCGCGACACTTTCATGAAAACGCGCCTTACTCCTTAAAATTTCTACTGAAAATCCGTTCGCTTGCTGATACATCTGCGGCGAACACTGGTTACTAGAGCGTCCTCTAGAAAAATACGAGTTTATTTGAACTTGTAGCTTAAAATTAATCATATTATGTCTGATCTATAATGGGACTGCCATACTTGAAAGACGCTCCTACTCATTAGCCATTAGATTAGATAAGTAATTAGAATATGTCCATATATATTTCGACATTTGAATGAGTATCGATAAGAAAGCATCCCATCAGAAAAGCCCCGTATATTTCATTTAAATTTCATTCTGATACAACGAATATAAATTCTAAAAATGATGTTTTCCCTCAAATATACTATTCGAATATCGCCACGTGCAGAAAAGCTGTTCTCACACTTTATTTCAAAATATTTCTCATTTCTTAGCAACTACTATTCATTATTCAAACTATCTTGAGGGTGTAGGTGTGGATGTGAATTGGATTTTGGTGGGGTGTGACTGTGGCTGTGAGTGTGCGGTGTTGTGTGGGTGTGGATGTGGTGGGTGTAGGATGGGGTGTAGATCGTTCTTTAGATCCGTTGCCACACACACACTCACGAAAAACCTTGAAAAACATATAGATCGACTCAGTTTTGGTGCTGATTTCAAATATCTTATGAGCTTTGATTCAAACTCAGTTGGTTTAATCAAAATCTGCTAATTATCAGTCAAAAAAATAAGAAACAATGCCCCAATAATAGTGTACTTGGACATTTTTTAAGTGGCCAGCCTAGTGACCTTGGCATATTCGGGTCATTTTATACGTCTACCTTATCTCGATCTATGATAAAAAAATCACGAACAGATAGTTTTGTGTTTCTTGAGATATTGTCGAAACAGTGGTCACTAATACCGATTTTTGCTTATATTTTGACCATTGATGTAAAGATTGCTGGAGTTACTTGCCAAGTGAACTTGACACATTCAGGTCATTTTAAAGGTGTAACCTATATCTATCTTTGAGAAAAAAATCACGGACAGAGATCTTGCTTTTCGCGAGATATTGTCAAAATATGGCTAAAATATTAGATGGAAAAGACAGAAAAATGCTATACAAAGGAATCTCAAATTGACTTTTACAAATATTATGAAAGTATACCAAAAATAGAACCAGAATGTTCACCGTGCTGAAATCTATCGATCTATATCGTTTTCAGAATGATCTATCGAAAAAGAGACACTGAGCCAATTTGTAGTCTTAAGCGCCCCCTCCTTTTGAGAAACCGACTTCAGATTCGGATTCTCCAACATCAGTTTACTTTCGTCAATACCTACTAAAAAAATTGATCTTTGCTGCTTTTTTGATCCTGCCACAAACATACACACATACAGACAGACAAACTATTTTCACTTGACCCTCCCTCCAGTGGAGGGAATAACTCAAAAATTTCATTCCGAATAGTTATAGCTCCTTTTCACTAATAATCAGTGACAAGAGCGAGAATTTATTATTTATATCTAAATTCCAAAGTAAAAATGTCTTTTTTTTAGCACATTCGATGTCATTTATAAGCGTTGCCTTATACTCAATAATAATCACTTTTTGATTTTTTTTCTGATTTTAAAATTATTATTTTTTTTTCATCATCAACTATTGAATGAATAAGATCATTATGATAATGCAGTCCACATGTATCAGCAGCTCTTACCACAGTTTTGTATATCTCACGAGGGAGCCACGCAAGGTGTCAAAAAACTTTTCAGTCGAAGATATGACGGTTAGATAGGGCATAGCTAGCAGTGATATAACTTGAGTTAGTGCGGCCCCAAATTGAGATCTGGCCGAGATATCTACATTCTACTAGAATTTGCCTATGGGACCCCATTTTCACGATAAAATCAACGCTGTGAATTTTGAGCTGAGACTTTGCCCATATCAAGGCCTCAGCCAGAGTAATTCATCCACAAAGTTTCAGAATTTTTGGACTAAGCATTCCGGAAATATAATGTTTTCAAAATATCCATGCATACAACAATATCCATAAAAAAATTGTGTTTATGCTAACAGACTCATATCTC